CCCCCCCACCCACACACACCCCACCCCAACCGCGCGAAGTTCACATACAGTCATACATACCCGTGCTCGGAAAATCTAACGTAATAGCACACAGAAAAGGAACAACATTGGTAGGATATGCCCAGGAGACGTACATGAAGAAGTATTTTAGCACACACGTACCTTGTTAGGCCTCCAAGCGACCATGGAGGCCGGAGGTAAAAGGTGATTTTTAGCCCCTTGGTGTGGGACGATACCCAAAACGTCGGCACGTCGATCGGGACACCGCGCAGGTTTTGTTGTGGTTGTTTTACCACGAACCACAGTGAGTCTGCTGAGGTTTGCCAAATCATCATTTTATAGTATCACTGGGACAGTATGAGCAGATTATGCTGCATTTTGTAGTACTAAAACCGCAACGTCCCCCTGTCCCAAGCCTTCCTGGTCAGTCGCACAGGTCATGACACAGCCTGGTAACCCATGACCCCAAGGACAACAAACCTGATTACCAACATATCACTAAGCCTTGTGCGCTATCTCTTCCAGCTCGTACTTACTACTAAATGCTGTCTCCTGAGAGAAAGAAGGCGTCCGCCATCTCCGTAACTACGGCATAATGGTCATCCACCTTTTACAGTATGTACTTAATGGAGCGAAAGCCATACATGTCCACCTGGCAGCCGCGTCTCAACAGCATGTTCCACTGCAACATCTTCCCAGCGTACCTCCCTGCCCCAGCCCCACCACCCTCTGTCTCCTTCTGGGACATGTGGCACAGACTTGAGAGGGTGGGGGTAGAAAGACCACCGGCAGTGATAACATCTCACCTAGGATTGTCCGTGAATTTGCATTTGAACAGAGCCAACCCTTATGCGACATTATGAACTCTTCTCTCCGTAAAGGTGTTGTTCCCGCCGTTGGGAAAGTGTGGGTTTGAAGTATGCATGCCAAGTGTGGCACCCGGGACTTAGAGTTCCTGAATGCCAGTCAATAGAGAGAGTACAGAGGAGAGCATGTAGAATCATTCTTGGACAGAACTACAGTGGCTACAGCTCGGCCCTGTCTGAACTCTCCCTAACCACACTTTCCCAACGACGGCATATTAAAACTGTGCAGGAAGTACGCTGAGTCGCTGCTGAAATCTCCGATCTACAGAAATGGCTGCCACCATGCCGCGAGGCCGTATTAGGCAGGACGACCAGGTCTAGCAAACAGCTACAGACTCTCAGACCTAAAACTGTTCGATTTACTAAGAGTCCGATCTACTTTATGACAAAGTTGTTGAACGATGTGTAAGTTTAAATGTACCGGATGTTATAACGCTGAACTGTTTTTATAGTACTGTTGAAATCGTATTTCATATGTATATAAAGTATTTGTAAGGCTGCATTGATTTGTAAGAAGTCGTCAATTAAGCCATTTTGGCTGCCACAGACTTTAATTTGTTTGTTTATGACTGTGTTTATGTGAATAAACCAGTCATCATTAAAAATAACCTGAATTCTTTTTTTACGTTTGAACCCAAATAACTGAGTTTTAAGAGAATGACTTTCAAAAATCCTTTTGTAATTCGGGAATAACAAAAAAAATAGGGAAAACTAGACAACAAGGAAAGACAAGAATTTTCTTAACTTTTTTAACGTTACCAAGATATGGACAGAAATAGGATGTGTCAAGCTAGCCACGACAGGTTACTGAATAAGTGCCCCGCCAACCCAATCTTGACAGCATATCAAAATACAATAACGACAAAAAGACAGGGTTAAAAACCGCAAGCGCAGTTTTTCCCTACGAAATTCGCCTAATGTACCGAATTTCACCGACCGTTGCGATGGCAATACGATTAAATTTTTAGAAAAGTAACCAAATTCGATGTTTCTAGTTCAAATCGTTCATCTTGAATATGCTTGATGTCATTTTATGGCATTATATTGACGTCAGTGTTGTTGCTAGGGACATCATAAGACTAAGTGGAACAAAGTATTTTACCATAGATATTTTTTGTTAAAGCTTTGTTGTTTTACGGGTATCAGCCATTTTGATGATTTTAGCCCCAAAATAAATAAAATTACTTCATAATGACATTTTATTTTATAATGACACCAAAGTTGACAACAAACTGCCAGTTGGCCTAAATTTACGTCACTTCTTCCCAAGCATTTGCTATTTAAAAACAATGACCTTAGCATGTCCTGATCACAAAGTATCAAAAGCAGATGTGACAAAATAGTTGTCAGTCCTTCATGTCAGTTATTTTTTCTAAGTAAATGTTTAAATATACTTTTGACAAATTTACTTCGATAAATCTAAATCATCATCAAAACTACGTTAAAGTAATCTTTTAACGTAATCAGTGACCCAAACATGAAATCAAGAATTTAGTTATTCAGAATCGCTTAAATATATGTGCTTAAAACGAGGCGATTATTTCAAAATCTGTCAGTCGCAAAGTATAGCTTTTAACGTATTACGCCTTATTAAAACTGCATTTTGTACAGTATTAAATCAAAACATCCACGTGTAGCCTACATGTTTTAAAGGGAGTTAGATGTTATCAACAGTACACTCAAATATAAAACGTTATGTGTGTTGCTTGTAGTTTTTGTCTTAAACTTTTTAAAGCTATTTTTCAGTGCAAACTTTTTGTTTAAGCAATTTTCAGTGCAAACAATACATGTAGGATATTGTTTATTACGCTTTTGTCGAAATGTGGAAGAAAAAAAAGCGGTATATCCTTTTAACATTACTTTATTACCGTGGCTATCCTTGAGGAAGCAATGATCGTTGTTGTTTCTATTAGGATGGTTTGCTGATTCTTACAATAATCGACTATGCTAACTCATTATTGCCATAATTAAAACTACTACTTACCAAAGTCCCTTGCATCTATGTCAAACACGGTGTTAACATACACCACAAACTCCAGCTGCCGGTTGAGATGGGCCAGAGACCTGCTAATAATGGTTAGTGTAGCCGTGCTCAGTCCGTTAACCTTAACCTTGGGCACAGTGGCACGGATCGTCAGCACCCCAAGTTCGGATGACGAAAGTTTGACCTAGAAAACACATTGTTCCATGCTATAACTTGACACATTTCTTATGCTTGCTTACAATAAAATAAAACGAGAAGGGCAAATAAATATTTTGGATACTGTATCGTATTCTACTAACAGGACTTGCAATAAACAGGGCAATATCGAACCGTAGCTAATTAGAATGATAATTCTTTTCGTATGGCACTGAACACATTCGCAACCGCATTCTAACTGTTAAAATAAGAGCTTCTAAATGATACCTGATACTCGTTGCGTATGGTATTATCCACAACCTTGAGACCTGTAAAAGAACGTTTCGGTAATGAGTCTTTTTGTTGTTACAGGAAGACACAATGATGTACTAATGATGTATACTTTTTGATGTTATGGACTTGTTCCTTATGTTGTTGTAGAGTATATTGGATCAAGAAATGGATTTTTGATAAAGTAGTCTTTTACTAGTCTTACAATGTACCAGTACTTGGAACCTTGAAACAATTGTTGTTTATTGCTGATAAACCAAGCCAAGCTGACTGTCTGGCACTAGCAGGTAAAGGTGTGGACAAGCCGTGAACTGCCTATTGTTCTCCTCGGGTAGTCTGGTCCCCAACAAGGAAGGTGCTATGTCAACAAGTTAGTTGGCTGTATTGTCCACTTATCCCAAAAAAGTGATCAGATTTCAGTTCATAAGAAGCCAGAAGTTAATTTTTTGTTATCTTATTTTTGCCTTAAAAGTGCATCCACACAAAACATTATTTTGAGTTACTGAACACATGTATAGAAAGTAGACAAGTTGTTCTAAAACAGTGTGTAGGGCCCAGAGTGCACAACATCCCCAGCACTTTGCTGACCCTGCATGAATATTGCAAGCATGTGATTTTTGCCAAAACTCTGAACATATTGAATAATATCTCTGTTGTAATAACATTGATACAGCTGGGATCAATGGGATGGGATGAGTTTTTACTGACGAATACATACATACCAAATTTGTTTGAAAAAAAAGTTTGTTTAGGGGTCCCGCCGGGCACTTGAAGTTTATAATTTAGATGTGCTTATTATATCAATATCATAATATCAGCAAGTTATTCACAAAATTTATGTAGACAGAGTTTGCATTTGACCTTGTGCTTTAGTAGTTGTCGGAAATGTCAGAAAATAACCACCAAGCAAGAAGCCATAGGTGACAATTCTCCGTGAAGTATTATATATGGCAACAAAAAGAAGTAGCCATTGGCGACAATTCTCTGTGAAGTGTGATAAATCGAACAATGAAAAATTGTTTAAACGCGCGTCGGCTCAGTCATCTTAAGACGCAACAACCAATCAGAGATGCGAAATGCCGACACGTGACGCGGGATTTGCATACAGTCTAAACAACGGGGAAGGGCGCGCGATGCCCGAAATATTTTTGCGTCAATGTTCAGCGCCGTGTTTCAAGAGATTAATACCGGGAAACAAATTTTTTTCTTGTTTTGAACGCATAAACATGCATTTACGCTGATCTAGTATGATTCAGGGTTACTTTTTTTTTACCTGCCATGGTCAGATTATCTTAAGATGTGTGTATTGTGTGTACAATCTACAGAAAGAGAAATGTACATCAGGTCCGATCATCCGATTTTCACGTTTCGGTTTTTTGGACTCATGAACGTATTTTTGTTTGGCTCCTGGAATGTGCGAAAAAAATGACTCCCGGGACTGTCTACAGGGAACACTCGCACATTCGCGGTGTATCAGGACAGCGCGACTGGTCGGCATTAGCGCAGTCCCTGCAATTAGTAACAGTTGCACATCAATCCGGCCGAAAGCATGATTGTGTAACACAGGCTACTTCTTCATATACCGGCTCATACTACACGACGCCTTTACAACTAGCAAATCATAAAATTACCCGATCTACTAGTACTGTATGTGCGGTTTACCAGCCCCAGACCACATCCGACTACGAGGCAGAACACATTGATGGGTTGCTCAAAAATATTGTCCATGTTTACAAAGAGCTGCTCCACTAACACTATGGAGCGGCCCAACCCAAAAATATTGGCCATGTGTCGTTGCTAGGACGACCGGCCAGTTGCTACGTGACTAAATACACGCCGCCACTAGGTCGCCACACCCGACCAGTTTGAAATCGATAGGATTACGTCATCGGTATTAACATTTCGTAATGTTGACCTCTGACCACCCCACATTTCCGCCCCATCAGCCCCGCCGCGACTTACTACCGGTGACATAAACGGACGACAACATTTCAACGACATGGGGATGTTTCGAAAATAACCATTTACTCCAATATCAAAACAGCTACGGTAAAATAAAAGACGTGCATCATCCCGGACATAATGCCACACCACATGCGAAATTACACAAAAATGCGACGTACGGAAGAATGCGTTTTGGCTGCGAACATCTTCCAAAAAACTTGGCATCTCTTAACCATGGGCAAAAACATCTGGAACCACTTATCAAAACCACCCCGTACCTGCATGAAGTTCCACCCCCCACTGCTATTCCAAACAACGCGTTTTTCTGGACCATTCCAATTCGCCTCGTAATTGTAGGGGTGCGTCTGCAATATAACATTGACCGCGAAAGCAGCAACGGCAAAAATACACATTCGTGCATCAACACGGGCATGCCCGCAGACGGCGTATAAAATTGCGTGCCGATTACACAAAGAGAACCCAGTGTTTTGACTGCGAACACGAAAAATCAGCCGATCACAACACTCCGTCCGGAGGTCCTGACCTCCTTCACGGAGTAACAAATACTAGCTGTACACAGTTTTTAGACGATGCCTTTCTTTTTCGAACACCATCCTGCCTATCAAATATCTTAAAGATACATAACCAATTACAAAATAAGAAATTCCTATATATTACTTCTGATGGGGGTAATAAAGAAA